GTGTAGCCTTATTTTTTGTCTTTCAAAAACAGTTTACACTTAAGTAAACAGCGTCACTAAGGAGTGTAAACAGTCAAAGAAAGGATCCTCTTACTTGTTGGGCTCATAGAAGTAGATCCGCTCCTGCTGCTGTTGCTCGAGTGCCTCGACTTTATCCTCCTGACAGTTTGCACTTGCGCCTTTACGCGCTGCTCTCCGGATCGGTACTGATTCCCTGACGGCAGAGCCAGCGACGTGTCGTCCACATTCTCAATGGAAATCGCCGATTTCAGCGGATCGGCCTTCGACATTTTGCTCATCTTTCGGAGGAAGAAAACAACATCCAAAGAAGATGGGAGCTAAGGAAGAGCTGAGAGCAGGCTGGGAGGTAAAGCTCACCTTGCCTTGCCCTGCCCTGCCCTGCGCAATGAGACCGCGCCCACACGCAGCCACAATAGACCTACAAGACTGGACTCTTCATTTTCCTGCAGGCTAGACGTGCCGTACGCGGCTGTAAACTCCCTTTTTCTCTACAACGTGAGAAAAATGTGGAAGTGGTTGCAGAAATGATTCACTTACACTTTGGCTCCAGATTCTAGGGAAAGTTTATTCCTATGACCTAACTGGATACATGCGTAAATGCAACTTTAATGCTGATTATGTATCTACAAATACAAGTGCTTTACATGAAAAAGTAAAATAGAAGCAAAATAAAAGATCATAAAGATAAAAACACAATAAAAGTAGAAGTAGAAAACAGTGCAAATAGGGTGATTTTATTTTACAGCATATTGTAAATAGAAAGATTTAAAGACAGGAGCAAACAGTAGAATGCTTCCTGAAGACTGCTTCTAAGTTTCCTTAAAGTCTCAGCAGTTTTGCAGACATGCTAATATTTGTAATAATTAATGAAGAAGAAGCCCTGACTAATTATAAAGAACAAATACAAAAAACAAAAATGCAGTTTCTGGATATGCCTTCCATGTGACTAACATTTCAGTATTTAAAATTCATACTATTTCTCTTATGTAGAGAATCTGAACCTTTGATTTTTCATTGATGTAAGCCATATCAATCAGAACTCAATATTTAAAATATAGGTTGAATCTAGAATATATTAGTCTTACTTTTTTATCCAAATTAGAATGAGTTTTAGGACATTATTTTTTTATTGAGATAAATTAGGATAAAACCAAGAAAAGCAAAATACTTAATATTACAAAACAGTGTAATATAACCAGCCAATTATAATATGTTAAGTTTAAATTAAACATTTATTTTTATTCTACAGGAAAATTTAATAACTGAATCCCTATGTTGCTAAAATGGTACATTATGCTGGTGAAGATTCTCAGTCATACAGGTCATAGTCATTCCGTAAAAGTTTAAAAAAACAATCCACTGGACTTTGTTTCCAAGGTTTATTGCATATATGTGAGAAAGTAAATACAATTTTGTGTAAATGAATTAAAGATGAAAGCTTGGGAGTTAAGAAATAAAGGATTACGTAAAAGGTTAAATTGTATTACAACATATATAGGTTATACTTTTCCTCTCTTAGTTATTCATTATTATAACATAACCATTACCCATCATAAAGGAAAAAACATTTTTAGATTTTGGTGTTTTTTTTTGTTTTTTTTTTGTCTAGGCAGTAGTTGGCTTTATATTTAAACAACTTTGAAAAGCAGACAGGAAATGGGATTTAAAGAAAGAGCCAAAGGTCAGCAGTCCGGAAAAGATTTCTGATGTTCAGTTATATTCAAACTTAACTCTTTAGCAATAACTTTTTAACAACGTAGGTTATTGCTTTGAAATTATATGATACCATCTAAATTTGAAATCAAGTCTGACTGTTTGCCTCCTTCACACCAAAACTTTTAAAAAGCAGCCTTTAAATTTGATGTTCTATTCATGTGTGTACTCAAGGAAGAAAAGACTTTCAAAGTACCACACCCAGGAGCGGTGCTGCCCTCTGTGTGTTCAAGTGGCAGCTGGAAAACTTGGCTTAAGCCTAATCAAACTGTCCTCCATCTTTGCTGTCATGTTAGTCTGGTTTCTGTGGCAGAGGGCAGTTAAAGTAAATCAATTAAATATACAAAGGCTGCCCTCTAGTGGTGAATATATGAATCTTTTTGTCAGACACTGACCACCCTATATTGGTTGGTCAACTTTCTTAGCATCCTTTTTTTTTCTTGTTACAGTAAAACCTTAAAAATTAAATGTAGTGAATGTAGACCATAGTTCTGGAATGTTAGCAAAATATTTATAGTTTTCAATTGTCTTTTCTTTAAAGACAAAAGAAAGTATGGTGTGGTTTTTATATATATGCAGCCCTTGTACGCCCTGTCTAGGAATCTGTCACTATTAATTACCTTCAATAGTCTCCTTAAGGTAAATCTGCAAAAAGTGTTGTTCATTCAAAATGTCAGGTCTGGCTAGGAGAGCAGAAACAACCAAAAGGCTAAAGGAGGAGCTGCAGACCTCCACATCTTTGAGTCTTTTCATGGGATAAAGGGTTAATTCTGCAATCCAAAACATTTGGCATTTTTGGAAAAGGAAGCAAATAAAATACAATACAGGGAATGGTTCCAGGAGGCAAGAAGACAAGTACAAGAAAAATAAATAAATAAATAAATAAATAAATAAATAAATAAATAAATAAATAAATAAATAAATAAAATGTGGATAGAATTGAGCTTAGAATAAACCAAAGAGAATTGCATAACCCCGAATAGTCATCCTAACAGTTCAGCACAGATCAACTGTGTGGCAACATGGGATAAATGTTCAACATGATCCTGAGGCTAAAGAAAGTATAACAGCTGTGGAGGTTGCAGATTTGTGTTCTTCAATAATGGTGTGGTACCAGCGCTGCAGACCACACAGCAGCAGGACCTTAACAGCAGAAGGCCAGAAGCAAATACCTCACAACTAATAAACAAAAAGGTTGCTCCTTAATCATCTTTTTCCTATGGTGAGTTGCTCGTTGGATGCGTGAAGTTTGGTTAACAGCCTCAGGGTGCCATCATCAACCTCCTGCACTGAGCACCAGCCTACCTGGAGTGACCTGGAAGCTCTTTCAGCATCATATTTATTACCCCAGTGATTTTAACGACTACCAAGACTGGACTTTGAGGTGAGCCTTTAGAGTGGACCACCGACTATCACGGTAAATACAAGACTACCTTTCCACAGCATGTGAAAGCATATAAATGTGTCTCTGTTAAGCTGATCTGCATTATGGATACAATTTGTTGTGCAACTTAAATATATTTATTGCTCACCCCTGTAGGGGTGGTAAATATCTTATTTCATCACATATTATTCGGACTGTAATATATTGTTAATAAACACATGCCCTACTAGCCGTGTGTTAGAACAACAAATGGAGCTCCAGTAAATAGAGCTCCCATCACAGTCAAACAGGTAATTCTGCACATACATGAAATAAAATCACCACAACTTCCATTCAAAATATAAGAATTTATGAACAAAAATCATTCAGCTCCAAGTCAAAAATATTTCAGGTAGAAATTCTTGACTAAAACAATTCAAACTCAACAGAACTGAGATACTATTTACAAAGAGGAAGGGAAAACATGGATGAAAACCATATTACAGTTTAGCATGGATTTTATGTTTAAGAACCATAGTTTATCTTGAAGAATTAGGGATGTGATCAACGTAGCTTTTCACTCATTTAGAATGACTGAAATGTTTTCAAACCAATGCAAAATGCAAATCCATGAGGTGAACAAACAATAATTTGGCCAAATTTTCTTTTATTAAAATGAGTCACTTAAAATTGTGTTCTGGATTTAATTTAAGGAAGCGAATGAGAGAAGCTAGGAAAGGAGAGATATGATTTTTGTTTTTAATTTTAATCTGCAATGTTGAGGATTTGCATATATCTACTTCATGCTGATATCTCCCAACCTTCTGTTGTCAAGCTCTGTGCTGACAGCTGCTGATATAAAAAAGCTGAATAGGTTGTCTATCTATCCATCCATCGTCCGTCACACTTATCCCTGCTGCAGTCATGAGGGGTAGGTCATTTTGTATCATAAATACTTGTGCATTTTAACTGTGAAATTGAAGTTGCAGAGATAAAGTAGAAGTTTTTATAATAGTAGATTTTTTTTCATAAGTTTCCAAATCATAAAAAAATGACACTTCTTTAAATTGTTGAGTAAATTTAGACATAAGAAGGGGCAGATGGGGACATCTACTTTAGTATGCACTGTGCTCCAGCTTATTCATTCCATGTGTTCCATTCATGTGTCTGAAATAAGAAAAGAATACAGAATGGTGCCAATGAGTAGACGCATTTAAGTTAAAGGTTTCACTTTATCGAACAATATTGACAGAAAGATAAAACAATTCAAAACTTTGTCTGCATTAAACATGAAAATCATTATAATCAATCAATGTGGTGTGAAATAATCTGTTAGTTTAGCAGATATAAGTTTCTACCTCTCTGCTCATTTTCATATATGATTTCTCTTAGTTGTTACACTTGTTATTCATATTTAATATTGAATGGATTAAATAAAAACTTACATGATAAACTATGCATGAGCTGCTTCTTTATGATAATCTGCAAGCTCCAGTTTTCCTGTTACTTTGATGCCGGTACACCTGCATTTTGCCACCGAGTAACAATAATGAATATTACTATTTGATATAAAAAAAAATAAGAGTAAAATCAAATAGACCAGTGAAATTTAGTGATGAATTTGTTAAAAATCAAACATTGCTGTTTAAAGAAACACTCAATCTGATCTAAGCCTGAGCCTTTTAGCAGAGATTAATGGCCTAGCAACAGTGACTTTGTGAATAAATTCAGAGTTGTTCCGATCTGGATTTGTATAAAAAAAATTCTAAGACATGACTCTTCATTCTAATAATCTTTGTTCTTTAAAAAAATTTACTAAATAAATCAAGTTTTGTGACAAAATATTAAAAAGCATAATTCTTCCCCAAGAAACTATATGAAACTGAGAGGCCCAAAGGTTTTTATATTGTCTTTATTATTGCTTTTGTGATACAATTCACTTTCTTCGGTGTGATTTAAGAACAACTAAATCCTTCACAGTATGGTTTAAAGCAACACAAACATTCAGACATGTGGAAAAACCAAATTAAGTTTGTAATCTGAATCAGCATCTCAATTAATATATTAATCATCCTAAAATTAGTTGTCTTTCAAAGCATTTTGAAAAAAAAAAATCATCTTTGATGATTAAAAACAGCAAGTTACAAGTAAATCATGTTCAGCCAATTCAAACTATTTTTATAGCTTCAGATATAAAAAAAAATAATAATAATAATCCGGAGTGCAGATTGTCGGTAAAACGTGGGCATAAAAATTGAATGTTACAGCAAGCAAAAACAGAAGTCCAATAATAAGATCATTTATCCCTTCACTTAGAATTTGACATGAAATGTTTTAACAGTTTCATAATGATCCTCACAGTATAACTTCAGGGGGGGAAAAAAACATCTACAACATAAACAATTAGGAGATTCTGCTTCTTCTAGGTCAGAGAACTTTCTCTTGGCTTCAAGCAGAAACTAAGCCTGAAACTGGCCCCACAGTCGCTATGTGATAGCTGGTAGAGGTCAGCAATGCCACACATTATCATACCAAAATAACTGGTCCCAGTCAAACTGCAGGTGGGTGGAATGCACATCAGACCTGAGCCTTAATAACACAAATATATCATAGATTTAAGACTATTAAGTGTCACAGCAATATTTAACCGTTACTGTGAAATAGGAAGCATGGCTGTATACTTTAGCTGCATAGAGGGAAGCCTAGGAGCAATACAAGCCTGCAGATGACTTTAAAAGTATAAACAAATGACAGCATATTTCCTGCAATTTCAGAAATGTTTCTTGCGTATAATCAATCCCGAGGTTTTATTGTCAATCTCCAAAGCATATTACGAGTAGCACACTAAATCCCACTTCAAAGCCTCCTGTTTATAAGCCTCGACTTTGAAGTTATTCCTCTGCATCCAAGGCACTAGGCAGTTTCTCCACTGGTGACCTTTGGGGAGCATTGTGAGGCTGAGCCACGGGAAAACCTCTGAGCTTTTCTTGTAGACTACCTACAGACAGTCTCATCTGGTCTTCAGCTCCTTGGAGAGACTTCAGCTCCATGGTATAAAAGATGTAGAGCAGAGAGGTGGTGAGCAGGATGACGAAACACAGAGCAGCCAGCAGGTAGAAGGAGATACGAGGAAAAGGCTGTTCTGCTCCCAGAGTGAAGCAGGGAACTGCAGCTATGGCCAGCTCCAGGAACAGCAGAGCTAAGCCCATCACTCCAGTACGTGCTGCAGTGTAGCGCATCCTCTCAGCACAGTGCAAGCCCACTTTGACTTCGGTGCGTGCCTCAGTTAATGTGTCAACAAGCTCGGCGAGCTTCTCTAAACATTGAGAGAAAATGGAAAGAGTTAAATAAAATACATTCACCAACTACCTTGAAAAACTGCACCTAACTGATGTTTGTATTGTCCTGTTTAGTACAGAAAACACTCTTCATAAATCATTTAGACAAGGAAACATTTTAAAGAACAGAAAATGCATCATTATTCATCTAAAACCAGACAGAAACACCAATGGGAGCAGGTGTGGTCCTCTGCTGCTGTATGTCTCAGCATAAAATGTGTTTGTTTTAGAGATGGAACTTGTAAAACATGGATTTATCCAGTGGTTATTTTAACAACTATTGCCTTTCTATCATCTTGAACTAGACGGCAGGTGCTCCTCGAATATCTACAGAGAACATTAATTTACACAGCTGCTGATCTTTGGAGATGAGATGAAATCCCCCTTTTATTTCTACATGATTGATGCATGGTTTTAGCTTCAAGTAACTATTTTGCTATTTCTCAGGGTTTTATGTTGGTAAAAACCAAGCTATAAAGTAATGAACTTGGTTAGATTTTGTTTAATTTGAAGGGACACAGCACAGGACAAATTAAATCAAGGGACTCAGTCTTCCAAAGGGATAACCTTGCATGTTCATGTATCAAAACATCATAGAAAAGGGGCATCATGTGCCGTCTATATATACACACAGCTTAGCTTATCTTGTAGTTATAATAGAGATACCTGTGGGAGTGTCCTGAGTCTTGTCACTTCCAGTCTGAGCTGGGATTTTGGATTCTAGTCGCAACTCAGCAGTGAGAGCCTCGTGATCAGAATAAGGGAGGGGATGGCCCGGCACTGAGCCTTTGGTGGTGGACATGAAATCACAATAAACGTTGGTTTTGGATGAACCCTGAAAAAAACAATAAGCGGATTGAAAATTACTTATAGCTTCAAGAATATGAATATGTTAAAGTAGGATCTGACTCACCTTAAACAGGATGTAGTCTATTCGAATCCCCTTCTCAAAGGGGATTAGTTCATTTTTACCCACAAAAAGATTATCTGCTATTAAAGTTATTCCATTTTCACATCCCTGAAAAAGATCAGACATTTTCAAAAACAAATTTGCAATGAAGAAGTTAATCATTTACATCTGACTAAGCTGGAGTTCACTTTTCTCAGTTTCTTGCATATCACTCTGACAACCAACCAACTGTGATCAAAAAACGCTAACCAACAATGATAATGTCAAATTTAACCCAACTGTTTCACAACTATTTGCAGCAAGCAAAAGATGCTCAAACCAAACCCTAATGTTAAGACCAAGCTTCCAGTAAATGAGCTTCACAGTGGAGACATGCCTAAATCCTGTTTGATTGATTTAACTCCAATAATTCATCAGTAGATTTTTTTAAAGAGAAAAATGGCTCGAACCCCAAAAAAGGCTAAACTATATTATAATATACCATTTCTTTAACTGATCTTTATTACAATCTATTATATTTTCTGCACATGAACAAAATGAATTATCCTGGGTAGCGTTTTTGCTGTTACCTACATCAAATTTAGCCGTTTCTGTATAACAGTCCCTCAGTCCGGTGTAAGACATCAGCAGTCTGCAGCCGAGGTCCTGAGGGTGCATGTTGAGGTCACCCCCCATAATGACAACATCTGCTCCTGTAGAGGTATGACTAACAGAGAAAAGATAAACATATTCAAGGATGCAGCTTAGCATGAAGGTTAAAATGGTTAAATTCTTGTGCTAATTGAAAATCAGAGCAGATGACAGGTGCAGACGTGCAGCAAACCGCGAAAAAAGCTGCAAAAACACTCTCAGAAAAACAAGCTGCAAACAGGTGAAAACACGCAGCAAGCAATTTTTTGCAGTGTATTTCCGTTGCGTTTGTTTTTGTGTTTGCATGTTTTGGAGTTTACATTATATGTTTTCGCAGCTTGTTTTAATGTTTACTGCACGTTTGCACCTCTCAGCCACTGTAGAAAACACACACAAGGAAACGTTAGAATGAAATAAGTCTAAATGCTCACATGTGGCGATATCATTGCAAAAAATATGCAAATATACTGCAGAGTAAACACACAGTATGTATTGAAGCAAAGACACCCTACCGAATGAACTGCTGCAGTTCCCAGGCCTGAACCACTCTGTGAGGCAAATAAGAGTCCGTCTCTCTGCTGTATTCAGCATGAAGCTACAATTGATAAACGGAGACCAATTCTCACAATGAATAATTGAAATTAAATTGGTAAACAAATCTTAAAAACTGATTTTTAGCAGAGCTTACATGTGTGACATAAACGTTCACAGTCAGGCCAGCCAGGTTCAGTATGGCCATCCCGACAGCTTTCCCGGCAAACCAGTCCCCATGGTGAGCCTGCACAAGAGAAATGGTATCACGTTTATAGCCGAGAGAAATAAAAGGAAAAAAAAGGACTAAATAAATGTGGCAGTGAAAATAAAACTGGGAATATTTTACTGCTGAAGTTAGCCATTAGTATTTTGCACCAACATCTGCTAAAAGAGTAAGACTATATTTTTCATCCTTTCTGTGCATTTCGGTGGCGCCATTATCTGCGACTCAATAAAAGCATTCTCACCCATGTCATATGAGATTATTTGTAATGCTGATGTAACAAATGCACCAGGCCCCGGAATAAAAACGTGCAAGGCAATGATCCAAGGCAACAGGTTTAACCATACAAGAATAACAGGCATAAGTCTGCCAATAAACCACATGTATACAAAGAAAAGGCCTTTTTCCTTTTTTATTTATGACGCATCAAAACATTTGAGTGTGTGAGAACTAGCAGTTGCATGGCTGCACTACAATGGCACAGGATGAGTGACTGCATTTATTCAAACTAACGGCTCTAATTAATCCTGCTTCTCATGAACTACAATAAGATGTAGCAACAAAAGTTAATGACTGAGTTTAAAATTAAAAGTTATGGTTTGGGCTATGGGAGGAAGGCAGAGCACCATAGGTCAGTGTTTTTCCATCCTGCTCCAGGTTCAGATGTTCCTCTGCTTCAGCAGCTTGCAGTATCATCGGTAGGTGTGTTTACACTCTCCTTAATGCAGTTCAAACGTCACTGTCAGGTTTTTGGTTAATTTATTAATCACTGTGCTAAAGGATTGCTTGTAGTCTGTAAACATAAATGTTTCAGGAGGTTATTATAACATGAAATACTTGCCATGTATGGGTAACCGTTCAGAGAGTAACGATAAAGGAACGTGTCCTGGATTCTGTGTTTGGAAAAAATAGCCAGACCACTTCCTATGACCCCGCTGCAAAGAAAGACAAAAAAGCAAAGCATAAGTAAAAGATTGAAACATAATTTATTGTTAGTTAATCCCCTGAAGAGGTTAAAATCCATAATAGCAAACAAAAGTGATTTATCTCATGAAGTTAACTCTTTTTCATAGAATAGGACTACCAAGCTAAAACAGCTTTGGCGTCGGGTCAAAACAGATTAAACAGCAAAGAATAATCCTTCATGAAGCTTCTTGGCTTTTCATATAGCTCAGTCGTATTCATATCAATTTTTCTGACACCCCACTTCTACTGGTCTTTTGAAGACATCATGCCCCGCCCAGTTAAGAGGGGAGCCCGTTCAAAGTCCACCAGATAAGAAATCCTTTATGGGTAGAAGAACACAAATATTACCTTTTGAAGTAATGAGAATAAGGATGAGTGGAGGCAAGCTTGACTTTCAAGCAGATAAAGTCCTTTTCACTCCACACCTTTAAAAAAAATATAAAAAATATGAAATAATCCCTGCTGGTCGAGTATTTCTGTCAGTTTAATGTAAGCCTTCTGTTAGTTTACCAAATGATGAAGCTGTTAAAGTATATCCCTTTAGGAGATTGTGCAACAGCCTTCACTTACCTCTTGCAGTAAGACAATATCATGCTGTTCCTTGCACAGCATTTCTCCAATCATTTGATATCGCTGAGAACAGTGTTTGCTTAGATATCGGATCCCCCTGTTAAAAAAAAAAAGATTTTGCAAAGGGGCATTTTTTATTTTATTCTGTAAAGGAATGTTTTTTTAAACATTGCATTTAGAATATCTTCAGACAACAGTCACTGACCAGCAATTGAGAGAAAAGACTCGCACACTGACACAGTCTGTGTTAGCCATGCTGACGAGTCAGTAGAGGTGATGATGGGGTTTCAGATCACGAGTAGTTTAGATCAGATGTGGATACTTGGGAGGATCCTGGTGGATCACATAAAACATTTCTGGTAACTTGAATTAATTTGAGTTCCTGCATTGTTACTACAGGGGACATGTGGCTGCACAAAACATCCAAGGTGCATGCATCAACCTAGCAATACGAGAAATTGAAGGGTTACCAAAGGGTTATGCATCTATGCATTAAAAAATGAACGTGTATGAATGTGATTTAAAGACAGTTATCAAAACAATAAATTAAGGAAAACAGCAGAACAAATGATGATTGCATATTAAGCACAAAAATGTGCAAGTCAAGCAAATTGCAGTCAGACAAATAGCTTCATACTTTAATTTCTTATAAATGTTTCAAGTATAGCAGATGTTTGGATAACCAGTAAGACCCCAAAATACACATTATTAGAATTTGATATAATAAACTATTAAAATACTTTAAGTTACAAAATGCTGCAGTAAGCTGTCTGCAATGTCATTTAAATAGCTGATGAATGATCAATGTGTTAAAGTTCAGCTGACCCAGACCAGTTTCAGTATGTCAGATGTTTTTTTTAGCTGAGGTTTTACTTTCCTCAAACACAAAGAAAGTATTTTGGATTTTGCTCTTCAAGATCAACAACAAACCAGTAACATTGCTTAAAGGGGAAACAAAAGTATTAAAAGCAATCAGAAGAGGTCAAAGGTAAATGGAATAGAAAAGGGCAAATTTCCTAAGTGCCCAACTACAATCAAATTAGCACAATATGTTAAGATAACAACAGGTTATTGCGGTAAATACTGGAGCACATTTATATTTATCTCCCTGATGACAGATCATGAAAAGCAAACATCTACAATCTTTGGTTTTAGCTATATCTGTGGTTATTTTTTATATTAAAAAAAAATACTTACGGAAGGTCAACTGAAAGAGACACTTTGTTAAAATAATACTTGTGTTAAATAAGAAAAAAAATTAATCCCCTTAGCACACCTTATTTACAGGATTTATAGTAAAAGAATGTGATAGAATGAGGCAAGGTAAATCAAATGCATCA